AGAGCGCGTCCTAACGCTATAGGCTTTCGCGCTAGTGCGCTAAGTCCGTTGCTTGTTCCGGTCGAGCGTCTTCAAACCTTGCAGAGAGAAATGTGTTTTTAAAAGTCAAAAGTTAATTTATTTATTATTATTATTATTATTATTATTATATTTTTAAATTCCAGAAAATTTGCAGAAAATCACATAATCTAACAAACATAAAACTCTATAGTCACGTTCCCCAATTTCTAATAATTTAATTATTAAAATTTTGACAAAGATTTTGTCAAAATTTAACAAACCAAGAGTATTGAGAATTAGGATATTACAACTCTCCCTCCCGTAAAAAAATTTCATCCTCAAAATTTGCTTACCTTATGGGAAAAGATGAGGGTGAGATTCCCTCATTTTGCTCTCTAACTCCCACGTTGCATCTTCATCACCTATTTCACTCTATACAACCTTAACTAGAGGTATATCTTTTCCACGTAAGTGTTTCATTCTTTGATCCGCAATACACGCAGGTGGTGCTTCATAAGCTAGATTATCCTTCAATTGTACTATATCGAGTTCAATAATGTGAGAAGGATCAGGTATATACTTCCTGAGTTGTGAGACATGAAAAACATTATGGAAGTTTGAAAGAATTGGAGGTAAGGCTATTTGATATGCCACAAGGCCAATATTTTTCAAAATTTGGTAAGGACCAATAAATTTTGGGGTGAGTTTTTGAGATTTCAGAGCTCTTCCAACTCCAGTAGTAGGCGTAACTCTCAGGAATGCATGGTCACCCTTTTCAAATTCCAATGACTATCTCCTCTTGTCATAATAACTCTTTTGTCTACTCTGTGTTGTCTTCATCTTTTCTTGAATGGTCTTCACTTTATCAGTAGTTTGTTGTAGAATTTCTGGTCCCAAAATAAGATTCTCTCCTATCTCATACTAGCATAAAGGTGTCCTACACTTCCTTCCATAAAGAGCTTCATATGGTGCCATTCCGATACTTGTATGAAAACTATTGTTGTAGGTGAATTCAATCAAATGTAGAGACTTGTCCCAAGTATCCTTGAATTCCATAATGTAATCTCATAGAAGGTCTTCAAGAGATTGAATTGTTCTTTCTGACTGTCCATCCGTCTGCGGATGATAAGCTGAACTCAATCGAAGCTTTTTCCCTAATGCTTGTTGCAAACTTCCCCAAAACTTGGAAGTAAAACGTGGATCTCTGTCAGATACAATACTTGAAGGTACGTCGTGCAACCTCACTATCTCCTTAAGATATACTTGTGTCAATTTCTCCAATGAATAATGAATGTTGATAGGTAGAAAATGCGCTGACTTGGTCAATATGTCAATAATTACCCAAATTGCATCATATCTTGTAGGAGTTCTTGGAAATCCAGTTACAAAATCCATTGTTATGCTGTCCCATTTCCATTCTGGGATATCCAAAGATTGTAACATTTCTGTGGGCCTTTGATGTTCAACCTTTACTTTTTGACATACCAAACAAGATGTTACGTATTCTGCCACTGATCTTTTTATTCCTGACCACCAAAATAACTTCTTCAAATCTTGGAACATCTTAGTAGTTCTTGGGTGAATACTCAACTTACTCTTGTGGGCTTCCTCTAAAATCATCTTCTTGATTTCATCATCTTGCAGAATACAAATTCGATATCTGAATCTCAAAATTCCATATGTGTCTTCCTGAAAATTGTTTTCTTTTCCTTGAGATACCAAAGTCTTCTTGCCTTGCAAAAATTCATCTGCTAATTGTGCTACCTTAACTTGTTCAAGAAAATTGCTAGTTATCTTCAAAGTTCCAAACTTAAAACTTTTGGCAGTTATCTCCATAGCTAAATTCAAATCTCTTAATTTTTCCACCAAGTCCAATTCTCTGACCATCATTGTTGACATATACAAAGACTTTCGACTTAAAGCATCTACCACTACATTGGCTTTCCCGGGGTGACAATGAAGTTCAAAGTCATAGTCCTTTAGAAATTTTGTCCACCGATGTTGCCTCATATTCAACTCTTTTTAATCAAACAAATACTTAAGACTCTTATGGTCACTGAAAACTTCAAATCTTGCACCGTATAGATAGTGTCTCCAAATCTTCAATGCAAACACCACAACTGCCAACTCGAGATCGTGTGAAGGGTAATTTACTTCATGCGAACTCAACTGCCTTGAAGCATATGCTACTACATTTCTATTATGCATTAATACTTAGCCTAACCCTTGCTTCGACGCATCACAATACACTTCAAAATTCTCATGAGGGTTTGGAAGTATCAATATTGGGGCAGAAGTCAATCTATCTTTCAACTTTTGAAAATTCTCCTCACACTAATTCGTCCATACAAAGTGATGAGTCCCTAGTTGCCCCGGAGGAGGTAGAGGTCATCCCTAGGAGGATTACTAGAAGCATGACTAGAAGGGAGGCCTCCTCTTTACCTTCCATTTTGAATTTACTTAGTATCTTTACTTAGTATTTTCTTTTTCTAAGTTTTTCACTTATTTTCGCTTTCTTTTTGTAGGCTCACTTTTTGCACCTCCTTTTTTAATAATACCACCTTTTTTTGGTGGAAAAGAAGCCTTGGATCCATAGGATGCATGCATGGGCAGCCCAAAGGTGTAGGAAACTCCTTTTTCATGTCCTACACCCCTTTTTGGAGAGGAAGAAGCTTAGGATGCGGGATTGGTTGGCTTGGGACAACCCAAAAGGAAACACACCTCTTTTTTCATGTTCTCCACACCCTTAGAGGTATTTTTGGTGGGATAGATCGAATTTAACATATTTGGACCATGGGGACTCTAGCCTTTAGCACTAGTACAGAAAACACCTTTAACATCGGTTCTTAGCAGCTTTCTACATCGGTTCTAGAACCGATGTAGATACAACCGATGTAGAAAGTTGGTGAGTTTTAACATCGGTTAAGAACCGATGTAGAAAGTCTGACTTTCCACATCGGTTCTAGGCCATAACCGATGTAGAAAGTTTTACTTTCCACATCGGTTATAGCTATAACCGATGTGGAAAATCAGACTTTCTACATCGGTTATGGCCTAGAACCGATGTGGAAAGTATTAAAAATCACTTTCTACATCGGTTATGGCCATAACCGATGTGGAAAGTCATATTTTTTTTTATATACGAATTTTAGTTTTTGATTTTTCAGAACCTGTACAGCATTTTAAATATTTACGGCTACTCGGAATGTTAATCTATATATAGAGGACATGCATTAACACACAAGTAAACATAATGTATATTATATATCTACATTGTATTGTATCAACAAAAACAATAAACATGTATTGTATTCTAAGTTTATATATACAAAGAAACTAGCAGTCCTAATGTTTCACAATTAAATTCAATCACGACTATAGTTCTTAATAATAAAATCTGCCCAAATTCGTCTAATGTCATCAATCTCTGCTTCACTTATTGGATGACCATCATCGAATATCTACAAACAAAAAAAAACATTTCGAGATAAGCGAAGTAGGCAAATATATGTCAATGACATAGATATAGTCATAACACATACCAAATTCCATGAATCTGTGATATTTGCTTGTGATGATTGTTAACATATGTCTCATCACATAATATCCGCACTCCC